GTTGTTGATGGAAATTCATTTTCTTCTGCCAGAGAGATATGATTTGAGCCAGGAGAGGGCACTGCCGGTTATGCCAATTAAGGACTGAAGGCGGGTGATGAGGATGGAGTGGTTAATGGTGTTTCAAAGCAGGGGGGGACGAGGCCAGTGCACAGAGAGGAGTTAATGACTGTGGTGATCAGAGGAATGAGTTGGGGGAGACACGATTTGAGAAATTAGTCAAGTTGCAGCATTAGATTTATACAAAGTAGAAACTTGAAAACACTACTACATAAACAATACTTTACGTTGAAATGTTAAATTTTGATATGCATGTTGGTGGTGTGTTTGGACCTTTTTGTAGTGTTACGTTTTTGTTGAATAATTCCATTCTTATCTTTTGTTTGCAAGACGTAACCGGTTTGAAGGGGAGCCAGAACCAAAGAAGAGTCGCCCTGCTCCCCACAGAGAGAGCTCAGGCTTTGAGCGCTACCCCAAGAGCTTTGAAACCGTGCGCAGAACCGAGCCCCCTCCTCCTCCACGTAACGAGCTCCGTGACACCGACCGGCGGGAAGAGAGGCGACCTGTGCCCATGAGGGAAGAGAGGCGACCTGTTCCCATGCGGGAGGAGAGGAGACCTGTGCCCATGCACGACCGCCCAATAGGAGCCAGGGCTGCGATGCCTGGCATGTCGCACAACCGATCGCCCCGGGATGGAGGGCATGGGTGGAAGAGTGATGGTGGCATTAACTCCAATAAGGGAGATATACGGTAAAACATATTTTATGAAAAATAAGGATCATTAGTTGTCTGTTTTTACCCTCCCACACACCAGAAGCTAATTATTTTTTCTTCAATGTCTCTCTTACAGTAATGCTGGGTTGAACAGAGGACCGATGCGTATGCGCCCAGAGCGACCAGGCAGAGAGGGTCCAGGCGCCGTCCTCAGAGGAGGCTCCACAGCCAGCCGGGGGAGGAGCAGCTTCAGTGACCGAGATGGAGGCAGACCAATGGGGATGAGCGAACAGGTCAGCTTACATTCTGACTGAGTTTTGTGTTTTAGGGTAAAAGCAGTTTGAATACATACCAGTCACATTCACATGACACATTTTGACATTTAAATGACATTTAAAAAAATCCTCAACCACCTACAGAAGTATACCAATAGGCGCTTTCACATCGGAGTACACCAGGAATAGTTCCGATAGTTCCTGGGATTTTGCGTTCACACCAAAAAGATCTGCAACTACAACTTATTTTTGCGAACCTTTTTCTCCCCAGGAAAGTCCCTGCTAGAGAACAGGGACTTTCCTGGGGAGAAAAAGGTTCCAATTTCTGATTGGCTGGGCGAATTGCAAACAACGCCCTGTAAAACTCTGCAAAATGTTTGTGAAGCCGCCATTTTTAGGCATTAGCATTATTAGCAATAGCCCAGCGCACCAACGGAGAGAGACTAACTTATGGCAACACAAAATAAAACATGGGAGCGATGGAGTGATGAGTAGGTGTCGGCACTTCTGGCGATTTACTCGGAAGGCCAGCAGCTTCTACTGAAGCCAGTCCCCAACTCCGGGGACTTCGGGTGGCAGCATACGCCGTGAAGTTGTTATCGGCCTGCCAGTAAACCCAAAGCAGAAGAAGAAGAAGTAGTGACGTCAGCGGCTTCATTTGCCTAATCCTCCCTCAGGGACTTATTCCGGTGTGAACGCGATCTACTAGATCAGGGGTCAGCAACCTTTTTGATATGAAGTGCCATTTAAATAAAAAAAATAAAAAAATCCACATTAAGATCACTATGACTCGTGCACGGTTGTGGCATGACCACCCAAACTGAAAGATATGGACACAAGATGTGTGCAAATGTATTTAGTATCTGATCCATGTGAACATGATTTAAGTGGGGGGTAGACCTCACATCATGTAGGGGGGCCCGGGAGCATGCTACCCCGGGAAGATTTCTTTTTTTATATGTAGAAAAAGCTCCTTATATTCGTTAGAATAGCTAGCTAACCAGATGCAATAATCCCCGGTAGCTCTCGCTCTCTCGCTCACACAAAATATGCTTGTGCCACACACAGAGCCGAGCTTGAGTGACACACAAAGACCCAGAAGTAGTTGTACTGTAATATATATTATTAACGATGGCGTTATTGTATGACAGATGAACAGATTGCCACTGGGTTTACTAAAGACACTGCCACGCAAAAACTGAGGCATGTGTACGGCTCCTTGTACTGCGATTTTTAAAGTGCTTGAGCGGCGCTCCGGCAGCACTACACCACGTGATGACACGTTACGCTCGTGTTGTGTTCAAGGAACCTGTCCTTGGCCAGGAAAAACAGGCAGCCCCTTGTTTAATTCTGTTGCGGTCTAGATTTCTTGAATTTTTTGTTTCCTTCTGCGCTGCGTGCATGGCTTCCTTCTGCAGGTAACAAGGAGACGTGCTCTGGCGGCGGTCTGGTTCAGGATCCGAAAATACAATTTAAATATTTTGCACACTTATTCCACTTATTCCTAGTGTGCCACTGGTTACGGTACCGCCTGCCAATGGTGGCACGCGTGCCTAGGGTTGCCGACCCCTGTACTAGATAGTTCCGGAACTAAAGATTTCCGGGGAACTAAGTTCCGGGAACTATTCCTGGGAAAAGTACTTGGTGTGAAAGTGCCTATTATGTAGTAATGAAACATTAGTCCAGTCTTGCAGTTCTTCCTTGCTATTTTTAGTCATGTCTTACTATTCCTGGAGTACACAAAGACATTTCCAGTTTGAATCTGTAGCTTGCGTACATTTCATATAGAACTCTGGTGTCCTGACTTCCTATCTCTCCTGTCTCTGCAGCCGTTCAGCTCCGGGCGGCAGGTGGTGGTGGAGCGTCACAGCAGGGATCAGGGGCTGAGGAAGGAGTGGCACGGCGGCTCCAGCTCGCAGGGCGGAGGCTACGCTGATACTCGCAGAATGGGAGACAGCCGTGGCAGCTTAATGTCCCCTACGAGGTATAACAACCGTACAAACATGTGATGATAAAACTGAATACTATGGTCCCGTCTCTCAGCCGTCTTACCTCTCACTCTGGTTTCTCTTTGTGCAGTCACTCTTCTTCCGGAATGAACCGGATTGTACAGATCACAAACAACTCCATTCCCAGTGGTGGCAACGTAGGCGGCTTCAAACCCTTCAAAGGAACGCAGCGGCAGTTCTAACGGCAACCAAATCCTACCATTTTAAAGCACCTGAAAATCTGAAGACTTTTCTGAACTTTTGTCTTTTCTTTTTTTTTTTTAGAATATCAACTGATTTAGGTGGCACATTTATAGCCTCGAGGTTGATAACACTATTTGATTTTGTATAGACAAGTGTTTACCTCTGTCAAATGTTCTGCAGTTACTGTTTAACACCCCTGTGCATATGTTTTACTCTTTACTTACATTTAGGAAGATATTGTACAGCCCTATGTCTTTGTAAGTTTTCAAGTGATGTTACCAACTTCTCCTGAGTGTTGTATGTATATTTTCATTTGCCTAGTCAGTTCTCTTGTGTAATACCTAATATGTGAGTGTAAAATAGAGCTCATGAAGTATCAGGGAGCACTCATTTGGATGTTGAAAGTAATTTTTTGTTTTTTGAAAAGTCATCCCTGGTGAAGACGTTTTGTAAAGAGTAGTTGGATTAAACAAAACAATGTCAAAGGTAAACCGGCCTACATTGTAGCAAAACACCTCCCATAGGTCATGTGTTGAATAACATGCATATATAACACGTGTCTCAAATAAACTGTGGGGCTTTCAATGTGTGCCAGAGTCCCTGAAAGTACTATAACTACCTGACTTTATATTTTCTCACAATTCAGCACATTGGATTACACCTCGCAGTCAAATGTCTCAAACCTGTATAGGATTTTTGTACATTGTACATGATATAACCCTCTGATAAAAGCAGGAAGTACTTTGATGGAAGCTTGCAGAAAGTCAGAGTCTGAAAACTGGCTTGTAGAAAGTTCCAGAGCACGAATCTGCAACCAGAACAATTATAACACTTTAGTCAGTGAGCATAAACCTCCAAATTGGTTACTTAGTCATTTAAGGTGATATATCTTTTAATTAGAACTGTTTATTAAGAGTGCTTGTCCTACTGTTTATTCATATCATTGAATCAACACCTCCAGGTCTACACAGCATGCAGTTGGTTTGTCGCTCACTCTTTACCTACACACCTGTCAGAATTGATGGGTGAAGCTTAATTAATCAACACATAACTGATACGGAGAATGACTTTCTTGATGATTGTCATATGTAGTATCATTGTGTACCCTTCAGCCATTACCAGATTAATTGACCCCCCCCCACACACACACACACACCATTGATAGCAATCAAGTGCATAATCACAGGGACAATGTAGTGTTAGTATTTCTCCTCTTGCCTTTAGCTATTCATCATTTAAGATGAGAGACAAGTGTTGGTGAAATAGACCGTAGAGATATATCTGCCTTTGCTTCAATATTATTGAACTAGATATTTCCTGGCATGTTAAAGTGTCAAAAGAAAAAGTAACATCACTGTCTCGTTCACAGTTATGTTCCAGTTTTAAAGACAAACCAGCTTCAGCTTCCTTCTGCACAGTGATACAGTATGAAGGTGTAGTTTGGTAGAAAGAAAATAGTTCCTACATGAAAGTGCTCACAACAAGGCCTGTGGATTATCTTGAGTAGCCGGGTTGTGATTTCAGATTTTTATTTAACCCTTTTATAACCACAAGCCTAATGCCACATGATTTCATTACATTATAAATAGGCCAGACACTTTAAAGCCAATATTCCCAACACTCATCAACTCCCACCAAAACAATCTAGATTGAAAAAACAGTACAAGTAAGAGGCCTTTTGTTTGATTTGGAGTCATCTTGCCCTTTAAATACATTAGTCATCAGGTTCATCTGATCCTCAAAGTGATTAGGTTGAATTGTCATCAATAGGGTCATTTAAAGTGATTGTTATTATCATTACAAATGACAACACAACAACTTATGATCTTAGTCTTTTATTATCGTGGTGGTACTTCTAATCGGGTTGAATGTCCCTCGTCTATAAGGCATTTTGTTATATATATCACCATATACATTATGTGACTGATGTGAAAGGCTACATACATTATTTGGTCATTTATGTAAATAGATGAACATTGAAATCAACACAAATGAGTAACCTCCCATATTCACAAACACCTTCCTTCTGCTTGTATGTTTCATGTGAAATATAAACAGTGGGCCATACAGTGGAAATTATATTTTTTGGGATAGTTAATAAAACGTTACTCTTTCTAGTATTTAAGTCCACACTAAATGCACCACAAAGTACAATCAGGGAGTTTGATATTGCATTAAAGAAATGCTCCCTTTAGATTGTTCAACACTGCATGTGTCTCTAACAAGAATGAACATGTCCCTCTTTTTGCTACATAGATGACACTTAAGCTTTAGAAATCAGCCTTTTCCCCTTTTTTGTTTGTCAAGGTGTGAGCATATTTGAGTAAGTTGTGTAGTTAAAAGATGGACTACCTGAATTAGGGGTGCACCTACACCATTTTTTGCTGATTGAGTCGAGTACCTGGGTTGTCTATTGTCTTCTGTATTTTGTAGAAAAACTGCCTCTGTTGGACCATTCAACTGAAACCCATCAGTCTTGTGTTGTAATTCACATGTCCCTCGTCGTCTTTGAGCTCTGTGCTGGTACTCAGGCCTTGTACTGGTATCCTGTTGTCTGGTATAGGTGTACCTCTAACCTGAATATATCAAACTGCAGCAAGTTCCTTTAAAGTGGTACTAGTTGTTTTGACCAATGTACTTTAATTTCAAGCCAAAAGAATGTAACAGCCCTTTTATATTTTTACAAATTAATATTATTCAGCTGGTTTAAGAAACCGACCATGTTGAGTTAATCCTTTTGGCCATGATTCCATTTTTTTTAAGTACCCAAAGGACAATAGCACTCTTGCACAATTTATGTTCTGTATAAAATGAGGTATGTTTCTCTTTTGTTAGTGCATATTAATGTAACAGTGCAAAACCAATTACAACGACTATTTGTTCAATGACCACCTTGTCAAAACACACATTTTACAGTATTTACCCCACCATCACTTTTACAAGGCATACAATAAAAACCACTTTGAGACATTGAACACACAATATCCTTCTGATCAAACCGTCTTAGGGACTAGGGTGAAACAAACACATTACAACAAAATATCAAATTATGATAGTAATGATGAGGGGTAGCAAGCTAATGCACAGTAGTAAATCTAAAATAATTAAAATGGGTGGCATGTGTCACTTCACTCTTTTCACTCATACAAACACCGGCCAAAATAAAACTTCCCATATTATTTTAAACGACACCAAGTGAAGTTATTAAATATTCACCCAAGAATGTTTAATCAGCATGTTCACTTGATGTGCCGAGATATAAATGAGGTGAAATTCTGAAAAGACGGACAAAAAAAGAAGCAATGTTGCCACACTTCCTCACTGCCTTCTTGCATTCACCTTATTATATGTGTAATTATTTTAAGCTCAATGAAAAAAAAAAACAGCTAAAGAGTCGATGTCAAATATATATAATCAACAATGTTTCTTTACCCTGTCCAAGGTTTTTGTTTCTTTCAGGTAGTCACAAAGTACACAAGAGGAGCAGCTTTATTAATTTCTTTAGTGTAAAAGTCAACGAGGGTCTTAAATAATATAGTGTCCTTCATATTTAAAATAGTTGTGCGTTTACATACGCAGAAATTAAGGTTGTGATTTAGGAAGTGATTATAGGCCGAGGAACTGTGCCAATACATAAAAGACACTGGAGGATATGTCCCTACACAAAAGGCCTGAGAGTATCTTTGATGTGAAAAAATGCATGGATTGTCTTGTTCTGGAAATCTACCTGTTTCCTTTTGTCCTATAAAATGTGTTGAAATGTTGTAAGGCGTTTAATTATTTACAAAATGCGGCCTTAGGGCCAAACAAACATGGAGCTCAATCTCCAGCCGTCACATGGAGCCCACCAGAAAGGGTTTCCCACACAGTAGGTAGCCTGCTGCCTCCATGTAATTATCCTGGCCGTGAACTCGTTCTCACAGAACACAACAATGGAGACCGCTTTACAAGCACTGCAAAAACTGTCTCCCTCAGTCTGTAACAGAAGGCTAGAGTCAAGGCATCCACTTGGAATGTATAGATAGAAAAGTCTCTCAGGAGGCAGTCCCATGGTACAATAATGGCACAAACCACCAGCTAGATCCATTATAAGAATGCATTAGGTAAATATGTACATCACGTGTTTGCGCGCTGCAGTGAAATGCACACAAGTAAAAAGTCCATACCACAGAATTCAGAGTATATTGTATGCCCCCAGGAAAACTTAGTTTGTAAAAGAAACCTAATGTTCAACAATTAACTGATTAATGTATCCGTCTCTGAATTTGACATTTGAGAATCTTTACCCAGAATGGGGCTAAAAAAATACATTGAATGTACACTGGTGGAGAACGGTAAAGGAAACGTCCATTTGAGAAAACAGCAGCATGACACAAGTCAGGTTCCCTACTTTGTAACTGGAGTTTGAACTTGTGTTGTAAATCTCTGTGTCACATATTTTGGATTCAGGTTACTGGAAAATAACCTGTTGAGAAATATTAAATGAACTTCCCTTGTCAAGAAGATTACATGCAAATAACTATGTTTTGCAGTATTTCTTTTTAAGCGTGACTGCAGTGGAACTTCTAAACACAGGGGATTATGATAGTGCCTACACACACACACACACACACACACACACACGCACACACAAGAAAGTTGGGTCTCTCACAGAAACAACTTAAACCAGAAACGTTCTTTTCAGTTTGACTGCCTCAACATACATTTGGTAAAATAAAATCACAACATAAAAGGAAAGACAAATCCTTTACTGAACTTGTACGGCGTAAAAAGATTTGTCTAATTCCAAACCGAAACTTCAACGTCAGCGATGTTCAGTAAATGTGTTTACCACAAGTCAACTGTACATACAATACACACAAAACAAACACACTCACATTCAGACAGAGCAGAATAAAACACTGCCATACTCTGGTAAGGCAAATCTGAACAGCGCCAACTGTGATGAGTTTTGTTGCGTAGCTACAGAGTCTGGCAGCTATCTGCCATTAATGAACCCTTCGGTACATAGTGTTACGGAGGGGACACAAATAGTGTTTGACCAAATTCCTACAGGCAATATTATGAGCAAATCCCTCTCAGCTTCCAGAAAAATAAAAAGTATCTTACACAGATACATAAATAAAAAGTGTAAATATTGATACGTACAAAAAAGCTTATAAGCTGCAGCAATGACACATGAGTGAAATGATTGAACTTTTTGGGAAAAGTAAAATGGAGAGAAGGTGACATTTTGTCTCTTCAGATTATGTATTTTGCTATAAAATATACCACCCCGAATAAACTTGACTCCACATCACAAATATAGTGCACTGTGCTACTTGTAACAAAGTTTGGCAGACTGTATGAAAGATAAGGGGTAGTTGTCGTTGTAGTGTCCCTTCCTCTGGTGTCCAGGTTCCACTGAGGATAGAGGATAGCAGGCACCAGTGGTGTGGGAACAGCAAATCCTCTGTTAGTCTCAACGCATCTCTCCTCATAACGTCTCCTTCCCTTGTTTGTCCAAGTGTCCAGTACATGGAGAGACAAATGCAGTCCCCCTTTCTCACATAAGCAAATGCACCTAAAACTCACACTCATACAGACACACTGTATGTTACAAAATCATACATTTGTCTTTATCCTTGGATTCTTTCTTGGCTTTGCGCTCCACATTAGAGGTCTGTTTTCCCGGGCTGGGTGTGGCTCCTGCTGCAGCTACCATCCCAGTGCCAGCTGCTGCTCCTCCTCCAGGTCCTCCTCCTGCTCCTGCTCCTCCTCTGTCCACCTCCTCTCCCTCGGCCGGCTCTGGCTGGTCCTGCTGCGAAAACAGGATTGAAGGGCAGAAGGGTATAAATTCATAGGTATGAGTATGTTTCATGCAAAGCTACTTATAGTGTTCTGAACTGGAATTAAGTGATAAGGCAAATATTAAGGTCTTGGTTAGAAAATATGAAGAATTGTACAGGCTTTGAAAAAAAAAAAGAATACTTTGAGATATGTTTATGCAGAAATCTAGAAAAACAATCAATCTTTCTTTAAGTTCACATGAAGTTGGGAAACATTTCCCAACTTTATGTTTAAATAGCATACATTTTAAGATATAATATTACCTTTTAAGGTGTTAAAATATATATATTTATTTTTAATTTAATTTTGTATATGTCAATGACATGCATCTATGTGAAAAATAAGTATGAAGAAAAGTAGGAATTAAGTGAAGGAAAGGGGAAGTAAGGGATTCAGTTTTATGTTTTTTTTATATTCTGATGTTTATTTGTTGTTTCATATTATATTTAGGTAAGAAATATGCATATTTGTTAGAAAAAAGTATTATATAATTTATTATTGTTGTTACCAAAAATCAAGAGGTACTTAAAGGAGTGCCACATTGGTTATAATATTGTCGTTTATAGAAATAATTGAATCATTATGGTATATCTTACATATCTATAAGGATGTGTAATAACTGATATAAGGGCAGTCTGAGGGGCGATGCCTGTGTCTGGACCTCACAGTGAAAGGAGGCTGCGTTACAAGAAAAAATAATACCATTATCTCTTTTGAAATCGAATTCCTCTTTTATAGCTCAAACTCTCTGATTTAGACATCCATCTGTTTCCAAAAGCCCTCTGAGCTACATTAAATGCTCCACATTTGTAGAAAGTCCTCCTCCTCCCCTCCCTCCCCCCCACCTGTGCCTCTGCCGCCGCTTGCTCCTGCTCTTGCTCCTGGTAGTACTGGGAGGCGCGCCGGTCCTCCTCTTCCTGGAGCTTTTTTGCCAGCTCAAGGTCACTGATGCCCTCGGGCAGCTGGTCCCACTGCACATCCTGGCACTGCTGCTCCTGCTGCAGCGACAGCGCCATCAGATAGTCCTGACACACACACACATACACACACACACAAGCACACACAGAGTAAGACTTGATAATTTACAAGCAAAAGTGTCAATGTGATGCCTAAACTGTGCTGTGTTTATGCAGCAGCTGTAATTCCTCAGCCTATAATACCAACAGACCAATCCACGACACTATTACTTTCCTAATAATAGAGTCATTAGAGTTAGTCCATTCATTTTAATTTGCTGTACCATCTTTATTCTACTCTTTGTATTCATTGGTTTAAAATGTCCTTTATCCTGCTTCTATCCATGGTATTAAACTCAGTATCTTATATTATTTCATGTACTCTGTCCCTGACAAAGACCCAATTTTCCCCCTGAGATCATTACACCTTTTCTCCAACCTAATGGAATTGATTATGAGTGCAGAACATTGCCTTCATGGATTTTTTTTCACCAACGCCATCTCGGAGAAAAGGAGTGGGCATGAGTAAGCAACGCAAATAAAAAGTAATAGCCCCCATGCTCGTGGAGGTCTGTGTGTGTGGGAGCGAAGGCAGACAATTTATCAGCGCTTTGAGCGCTGTGGCCGACCAATGAGCAGACAGCTGTGAAAGCAGCCGGGAGACATAAACCCAATGCATTATAGTCCGATTTGGTGACTATGTGCTACAGCAAATCATGGATGAGAACAGAGGTAGGCGCGTGCGGGAGCCATACACATCTATTATTAAGGAACCTCCCTGTTTTAATTTCAGCCTGGGATGGTGCACAGTAGATCTTTTTGTACATGGCTTCCTAAAATCTTTGTTATGTGTTTCTTTATTTTTGGCTCTTCTTTCCTCCAGTGTTATTTATAAATGTTTGTAGAGCAGTACAGTGACCTTACTGGTCTTGTATTCTGTCTCATGGCGTAAAAAACCACGTTGTGATTATACATCAATCCTGGTTTTGGAGTGGATCATTTCTGGTTCGTCTAGTCTTGCCTGCATCAGTGCTCAGACCTGGTCTATCTGATCCTGCTGGCCTCGGTACACAGTCTCTGGGTTCGACGGAGGGCGCAACCGGAACTCAGAATCACAGAAGTTTCCGTCTCCGTCGACGTTGTGCAGACTCTCCCAGACGACCTTCTCCTCCGTCAGGAAGCCTTGGTCTGTGACTAGGAGGTACAGCTGGCCCTGGGAAACAAGCAGGCGTGCATTACATACAAACATACAAACATCCAATCAGTATCACAGCGCACGCAGACATACAAGACTGCATGGTTACTCCTGTTCCAGGGACATTGACAGGACATTTTCTGCGATGATCTAGCTAGCATGATGCACAAGGGTCGCTCCATACACTAATATGTTTCTCCCTATTGAAGTCTTATTTAAAAGACAGCGCAGACTATGGCTGGACATTATCAATGAAATCATCTCTAACATGCCAATAGATTATGAGAAATGTGTCATAGAATATTGCAAACATACCTGCAGATGAACGGCACTTTACTTTATTGTGAATCTGCTACCCCAAATGTTAATTTAAACATAATAATGCAGCATTGCATCACACATTTGAAACTATTGCGCATACCTTAAATCTTTGCAGGAAAAATCAGCTAGCAAGAACATGAACTTAACAAAAAGGACTAAACTAAACACTATTAGACTGCCTGGAAAAAGGAGATTTAACCCTCATTTCCATCTGTGTCCTATGACCTAACATATGTCCAAGTGTTTTCAAGGTTTTCGACTGAAAGAAGCATAGGAACCCTGCGTAAGCACAAACAATCTTTATGTGGTTGTTTATCATAAATGATTGTAACTGTGTGTACATGTAAAAGTGCAGCTCAGTGATTGCAAAAGAACTCGGGCTGCTGAGTGATACACACAGCTATGCTTACTTTGGCTACAATGGAGTACTATTCAAAATTAAGTAAGCAGGCTCCACTTCCCATCCTGCAGACAACAGGAAAGGTCTGTCCGAGCGGCAGTGATATAGTAATCCAGCTGTGGGCAGGCGCCTAAAGGGTTGTAGTGATTGGTGTAGCATTGTACACGTGTAATACATAAATACCAAGCTTTCATCAGTTTTTAGAACATGTTATAGCAGAACTTGTGTGAACAGTACAGCAAAATATCAAGGAGCTTTAGGCAAATGGAAAGACAAACAGAGAGAGTGCTTCCAACGGTAGAGGGCAAGACTTGATAGTAAGTTATTTATCTTAATCTACTGTAAATTACTAGTTACATTTATTACAATTCAGTTAAATATTACCAAAAGTCTCCCCTATAAAAATCAACCATTCATCAAATAATATAAGAAAGCACCAGAATGATTTCTTACTGAATAGCCTTCAGAACAATATTTCAGTAAAGCAAGTTCATTATGTTGAGTTGACGGACAAAATAAAGGACATTCCATTTAAGATTTTAAAGGTAGTTTTGCTGATATCTATATGAACATGAACAGTTATCAGAAAGAAATCTTTACCTTTAAGAGGATTCTGTCAGAATACCCATTTGAGTAATACAGAGAAAACACAGTAAATGTCCGGTTAAAGTAAAGGGCCTCAAGCTGCTTGTCACTGAATGGGGGGACAGTTAATAAAACAACCTCTTTTAAGTTGCCGCAATTTCTAAAGTAAGCTCCAAACTGGAGTCTCAATCTGAGTATACCTACACTTAAAGGTCCCATGTCATGGCCATTTCTACTGATTATAATTCCATTGTTGAGGTCTACTAGAATAGATTTATACTGTGCAATTTTCCAAACTCACATTGGTTTCGCATACAGCACTCTGTAAAGTATGTGTATTCAGCAGTATTCACTCTCTCCACTAAACGGCTCGTTGCAGCTCTTGCCCCCCCCTCTCTGTGAGCCCAGTGTGCTCCGATTGGTCGGGACCAGTCGGGACGTTGTGAATCGCGCTGAGCTCCGTGGAGGTATGATTTCCTTGTTTAGCGATACACAGCGAAACACAGCCAAACTCACCCTGAGCACACACAAAGTCACAGCCGAAGTAAAAACAATAAGTGTGGCTTGATATTGAGTAAGAAAAAGGTTGATAAACGCGGTGAGAATGGGTCTGCAGTGAGAATGGGTCTGCAGAGAAAATTTCACCGCGATCCCAACTGTCTGTTATCAGCCTGCAGCCAGGGAGGAGAAATCAGCAGAGCTGCCTGCACTGAGTGTGTGAGGAAGTCCGTGGATTGGTCAATTTGGACCAATCAGCGGGGGCTTAACATAACGGCTCCGCGGACGTAACGTAACGGCTCCACGGATTGGTCCATTTCGTTCCGGGTACGGATGACATCATGCGTACCCGGAAGAATCAAATGGACAATGACGTATCTCCAACGAGGCGTTTTGGGGAGGTATTTTCTGTATACTTCTGTGTAGAGTTTTACTCGCTACAGGGTGTACTTTGAGGGTTTGACTCTGCACACCGTTTACATGCATAAAAACCTTCATAACACACAAGGGGACGGGTAATAACCGGAAAAGCATGACATGGGACCTTTACGGTGAAGGTATAATTTACAGTGTTCACCTTGTATTTGATCATGGTGCTGAAGTGGTTATTCCTGAAGAAGACACAGAGCTCTCCCTCCTGTACGGTGGATGTGAGCTCACATAAGCCATGGTACGTAAGCTGAGTGGCTGTGCTGCTCAGAAACTGCTCTGCCACGATGCCTGGGGCGAGAGGAGGGGAAGAGGAACCAAAGAGGAGACAAAGAAGGAGAGATTGAAATTGTGATTGATGAGCAAATGCAGAAACATGGACTTAAGATCAGTGTCAGTTGAATACTTTATCTTATCTTGCTTTTAATCCGTATATTTCACAGAATATACAGACAGATTTAACAATTCACTTAAAAATGAGTGATATAATGTCAATGTTGATTTCATTTGGATGAGCTTCACCTGTTAAAAATATACTTATGAAGTAACATAGCTTTTTTATGTTGCATTATTAGACCACAGACCAGTGGATGAGTCAATTGCGTTACATTGCAGCGATTCTTACTCATTCATGGGTCACTATTTGGAAACCCCGCTGTAATGTGTGTTGTAGCTATTTGAACACAGACTTTGTGCTGCTGGAAATGGTCACGGTTGCTATAGTGAACTCAATATAGGCTGAGAGGCAGATGGTGAGGGATCTGTAAGATAGAGCGGCATTCAGCAAATCCCCGGGAAATCAGGCAGTCAAACAAACACTCCAGCCGAGAATAACTTTTAGAGGCTGGTAGAAAAGAAACTTGTATTAAAGTACATTAAAGCATGACAACTAAAGTCGTTTTTAAGAGTAGAGTTTTATATGAGTGGAGACTTCACCCACAAATTGGTCATTAACATATTGAAGAATAAAAAACAGCAAATTCTAGATCCAATTAAATAAATGGGCCTGCCTACTACTTGTCCTTGCAAGCTGAAGTGTATTATATAGTAACATTATAGTGTGCATGAGTTAATCTCGTGAGCATACCACTAGATAAAGGAGATTTGGGTTATTCTCCACAAGTTAAGGGGTATTTTTTCGATACTGATAGTTTTTCTGTTGTAAAACATGTTATCCATTTACTTAAATGAATCACTGCTATGCTCTTCTTTTACATTGTTTGGTCAATGTGAAGTTTTCACCCAAGAATTCAAGGCAACAATGGGTTAGCAATGGATATTAAAATGATACTTTTGTAGTTAAAGAAGAAAATTCCTCTATTGAAGTAGTGATGAGCAGCATAGATGTCACTTAAAGTAAGCCCTAATTGTACATTCCTAAGCTACAAATCCAGAAATATTATTGAAAGGAGTAAAGTGCCAGGTCCGTATCACCCTCGGCTCAAAGCTTTCATGTGTTGATTTTGCAGCAGACCAGCTCACTCAGGAAGCTCAGTGTTGAATGAGCAAATATTTTCAGTGGAGACTACCAACAGCTGGTAAGAAAGCTGGTAAGTGTGAGCTGTGGAAGTATGTCCTGGTTTGCTTTTGTCTTGCCCTGGACAGTAAACACATATCATTTAATGAACACTGCTGTTCATGTTTTTTCCAGCAACAAGTTCTACTTGTGATGCTCGATATGGACGACACAAAGATAGTATAATTAAAAGAAAGAAGATTTTTTTAAATCAAAAATGTATTTTTTTTTTAAAGTTTAAAATGTCCCCAAAATGCATGATTTAGTTTTGTTTTCTCCACCACCAAGTGCCCAGGGAGGGAGAGGAGCTGAGGGTGACAGGAAGGAGTCAGGCAGGTCAGACAGCAGAGAGAGAGAGGAGAGAGAGGAGAGCACTCACCTTCCCCTGCCAGCTCACTGTTGTCTGACTGTTTGCAGGATATTATCTTCTCTACCAGCTGGTTGTAGCTGCAGTTTCCCACTGCCTTGACAATGTCCTGCATCTGCAAACAAAAACAGCAAAAACTGTGGGAAAGAACACTCACCAAGCTTTGAAGCTGATTTAATGAAAGCCACAGCCGATTTATACAAAATGTAGAACAGAGAGAAACGTTGTAGTGAAATGAGGTTCATACTGAAACTAGTATCACTTTGTAAACTTGATCCCTCTTCATGTTTACCATCTTTATCTAGGGTTGTGTGAACGATATCATTGAAGCGGTCTGCTTCCAAGAGAACTCAGAATGCATAAAGGACATACCAAAGAAGCTTGACTCAGTTTATATGACATTAATATTCATTCAAACGCTAAAATCTTTAAATGTGGGAAATGTCAAGGCACTGTGTGGTCCCACTCTTCTACAGCATGGTATTCATACCATATGGTGCATGATGTCAGGTTTTCATCCTGCTTTCGATCTTTATTTATAAGCCACTCTACAGAAGATTAATAAGGCACATTGGGGTTCACTCAAGTTCAGTCAGGTACGTTCATGTATCACTGATAAATCAGGATGAGCAAAGATTTCTGAGAGTTTCCTGTCAGCGTGTATTACTTCATTATCACCCCTCTAGGTTTGTTCGTCATAAATTAGGGTTAGTACAAAACAGACAATAACTAGTGTGAGCACGACCTGAGAAAAACGTCAAGAACAGGCCGGTAGAATATTTTAATACTTGGAATGAATTCTAAGGACACGTGTTGAGGATAGAGAGGCAAGCAATAAAACAAGATTGTTTCTGGGAGGTAAAGAGAGGCAGCAGTGAAGTCCATCTCACCTGGGGGTCAACCAGCCAGCCGTGGTAGAGAGGGATGTCGAGCAGATCAAACACAATGCATTCTGGGGTGTACTCGAAGACCTGCACCCCTGTGAACTTCACGTTCACATCCAGACCCGTCTGCAGCTTGTGCAACACCGCCATGGCATCACTCATGTTCTAGGGAATAAGGAGATCAGATGCTATGTTAGGAAATGTGTGATAACAATGCAGCAAAGTGCATACATACTGTATACAATGTACAAACAAATATCTTTAATAAAACGTTTGTATTTTATATTTTTGTATTAAACAAGCTGTGCCTTGTCCAGCTGTTGCAAGTGCCTTTGTGTGTCTCATTATTCCTGTTTGTCTGGATTGATTTTTCTACACTTACGAGAAGTCATTAGCTGACATTTATTCCTGTACACTACAAAAAAACACATTTCCAACATTTGTGCCTCAAATTTGTTTTATCAAGTAGTTCTGCTTTACACTTTCCTGTGACTCAGTTGAGAGTTTTCATATTTACAGCACTTATTCGTTTTCGCTCTGCTTACTGTCAATCATCCCACGACCACAGGAGGAAATGGAAGTCGCTGCCAGGAAATCATTTGATAATATATTTCTGAGTGAGCACTCAGACTCATTGTTGAGAGACATTTGATATTTCCCTTTGGTAATATTACCAAGGGGTGGACAAAATATCAGGAACACTCGACAATATAATCTGATTCAGCCAGCTCTACCATTTGGTTGACATATTATGCACAAAACAACCTCTAGATGTCACTGTGGTTCGAACAGAATGCCCTTCAGCTAGCTTCCACTGAGAAAGTTGGCATGCTAAAAATCACTGCTGAAGAAATCACTCTTTTTGGTCAACTTTTGTAAGGTAACCATATCATTTTTGACAGATTTTAGTGTCAGAGTACTGACTGAACATAATTAGATAACTTGATGTACAAAACAAGTTTTAACAAGGGTGTAATTTTTTTTTTTTTAAATATGCTCAACCAATCGGTCGAATTGGCCTTTTATGGTAAACTAGCAATATGACCTTTTCAGAGTTTCAGAGATATTGTCCAATAAAATATGGTAAATAAATAGCTAGATTCATGGTAATATTACTAAATCTATTATTGCCTAATGAGTCTCAGAGTGAAAGAGTTATAATAATGTATATAGCACCTATCATGCATGGCATTCTGCCCAAAGTTGCACACAGATGAGCAAGTTAGGCCAACACAGGATATGGACATTTGCTGTTGGGCCAGTGGTTTCTTGTTAGGCCAATTCAGCATATACAGTAAGATGAGCAAGTCTTTTTTTATTATGAAAAACACTTAAAGGTGGGGTATGTAATTTTGGAGAAACCAGCTCGAGTGCGCTAGAATTTGCCAAAAAAAGCCGAAAAAAAATCTGCCCCTTCCTTCAGACTTCCTTACAGAGCCCCTCCTCCAACACACACAAACGCGCACATGACCAATGAGGGCACGAGATAAGTTTGTGCACAGATGGAAGGCTGACGGGCATGTAGGCCATACAGTTATTTTAGCCGGGCCGGCTCAGATGATTGGTCGTGCTTTTTACAGTACTACGGCTTTCACAGATGTCAAAGCATTTAATATATTCATTGCTATCGGGATGTTAAGAGCATTCCATGGAATATAACAAAAAGTGTTTCTGAAATAAATTACATTTTTTTTTTACAATTATAATCAGGGGTGCACACAACCTTTTTGCCCTGGTTCTCAAAGGAGCACCTGGAGATGGTGCTTGGTGCGCATCCTTAAAATGAAATAAACCGGACCTTTTGAGGGGTACTTGACTTTATAAACGGGGGGGGGGGTTGCGCTAGTGAGCACGCTCATGGACTGTTCACCGGAGCCTCGCAGCAGGGTTACTGTGCGGAGTGCATAAAGCAGACCCTTCACACGATAGCGAGGGGGTAGAGCGAGGGATCGACAGATGCCGTCGTGCTCGCGGATTAAAAAAATCAAACCTAAACGGCTTACGAATTATACTTTGGCGGCCGTTAATATACCTGGGTGGCCCGCCCAGGTAAAGTCTATGTGTGGGAAACCCTGCTATCTTACCAGTTAATATGCAACTTGCAAATATCTCTCTCTCTCAATGTTGGTGCGCAAATGCGCCTTTTTTCAAATGATCGGGTGCTCCTTTTTTCGCGGTGGGTGCGCATGCGCACCAGCGCACCAGTTATGTGCAGCCCTGATTATAATTAATGATCTTTTATGAATATATCTGGTTGTATATATTGCTCATTTTCCATAAAAGAAAAAAATGTATTTGAGTTTGTGTTTTATTTCAGTTTGATGCATACAAATACTGTACATGCAATGGATCGAGCTTAAGTTTAACTTTCGATTGAATGATATAGCCCAGCGCAACACCTTCGTCAAACATGTTGCCACTTGTTTGTACCATTTTCAGGCGATTTGTAATCTGTTCTAGAAAAACGATGTGTTTTTTAGGATTTCAAGAAGCATATAACAAACAATGGATGTATTTTATGAACATTTATCCATGCTGAAAGTAGATTTAGATGTGTTAGGAGTGAGATAGAGATTATTATCTAATATATGCATCTGATGAAGCATTGCATGAAGTCTGTTGATGATCAGAGGCTGTTGTTGGGGCTGCATACATATTTTTACATTTTTGTTTTGTACAGTAGGCAGACCATGCAGGCCTCAGAGTTAAACTTGGGCGTGCGACCATAGTTTTACTGTATTTTGTTTTGAAAATCCACAGCGGAGGTTTGTGTCGTACTACATGCCGTGTATTTTGCATATCTCTCAGTACCAACGATCTGTGTGTCTGTTGGCTCGGAAATAAACTCCGTAATAAATGTAGTCTACATTTCATAATAAGAGGTGTAAAACCTGAGAGCATTTTAAATCGCATTTGAACTAAATGCTTATATAATCTGTAGTTGTATTTGTATTGTTGATTTAATGTGTGAACGAGGCGATATAGAGAAGGTTAAGCTGTCATTATTAGGCTGTAATTTGTTATATACTGTTGGGTAAGCAGGCCTATTGTTTTTGGATATTTGTGGAGTTAGGTGGTCCGTGAGAGTTTTTTTATTGGTTAAGTGTTCCTTGGTATGAAAAAGTTTGAGAAACACTACGCTAGTGGATTGTCAAAGGGGGAGCCTCGTTGCGGGGAAATCATACAGATGGCTAGTCCGCCCCTGATGATGTTTATGCACACGTTATTATTAAAAACAAATTAAATTGATTAAAAAAAATATTGATAAAAAAAAAAAATATTATTTTGTAATCATCTCGTAATGATGACACTTTGGGAACCCCTGCTGTATATGATGATTGTTGAAAATGCACTTTTACCATAAAAGGCCAGCTCGACCAGTTAATCTGACCACCCTGACTGTGTGGTCAGTCAAAAAAATTAAAATGGTTTGATAAAAAAATGCAAACAAATAATTTTTCCATAGCTTTTTTCTTGGTCTGGTGGTTAAAGGGTTAACGACGTGACAGAAAACGAGAAGAGAAGAAGAAAAAGGACGACATGCATCTCAATGTTAAAATGAATATATGAATAAACATAAATGTGGGATTTTTATTTATTTTGCGTAAATAATAGCTTTAGTATCAAAGTATGTTTAAAATCCTTTAGTGATAATTTCCTCACTTTTTTAACTTTCTTATCTTATAGCTCTCGTCTATATAGATGACGTAAGGTCAAATTACGTCTGAAAAAGCCAAAGATGCATTCTGTTAACACTGATTGCATTACTTTGTTTGTATGTCCACAAACATCAATGCCCACTGTTTAATATTTCTCAAGGCTCAAACAGTGCATCACAGAATGATTCAACATTATAACAAGCCACCACAGAGATCATCCAACAGCTTTGATCTCACTGACACCTCTTGTGTTGGCCATAATTAGTTTCAGTTTAACTTTATTAATCATAGTAGGTTAATACAGGGTCAACAGTGCAATGACATGTATTAGAGGAGAGAATGGGTCAGCTCAGCAATTTCAAGCACTTGTCATAATATAAAGATAAAAAAGAAAGCTTGACAATAACCTTAGAAAACCTTTTCAATAACTTTATATGGCTTCGACATCGTTGTGTGTTTTTGTCCAGATGATGGGAGATGACTCACTGTAGCAGAAGGCATGCATTGACGTCACTTTTTCACATGATACCAGCCCCCTTCATAATGAACAGACTCAGCCCTGATACTAGGAGGAAAACAATAATTATTTTAAAAAACAAAGGCCGTCAAAGTCTGCAAAGCCCCATGCAGTGTGCGAGACAGTGGGCGGTCTGTGGACACTGAAATGTACACAGAAATCAAGCTGATGTATATAAAGTATGCAGCGTCACAGGGAAGTAACGTTACACAAAACTAAGCCTCAAGGCCTTGAGATGCCAGGGGCATTTACTGAGTAGAACACAGAACCCAAAAGAGCTGCTCTGGGTATATTTCAGCAAAAACTTTGCTATCTTAAAGCAGCAGTCTGGTCAAAATGGTAAAAGCTTGTCGGTTTCACACAGACCCTGAGAAAGTATCGCTTCACCTTGCCTGACTTCTGTTTTGCCTTCAGCAGTGAGTATGAACTGAAAATCAGTTCAGCCAATTCCACAACAGCTTTTTACCACCTTTTAATACCAGCGTTTTATACATGTTTTACAATTAAGAGGACATTATTGCAGATGCTTGTTGCAATTGTGACTTCCCTAAAATATAATCCAATTATCAGATATATCCTACTTCAGGTTTGTCTTTTTTAAAGCAGCTTTTAAAGTCCTCAAGAAAAACAATGGCTTCACTAATTGCAGGGTGTTTAATAGTTTTATAAAACAAATCTCAGTTCGTGTCCGTTTTAATTGGATTTCACCTGGTGTGGCCCAAACAGAGCTGTGAAATATACCCTTTTTGATTCTCACACTGATTAGAAAAAAATCAGAGCTGTGTTTTGTGAGATGGAAGAATCAGAACTAGTGTTTGACTTTTAAATTATATTTTGTTATCACTAGTATTAGAGAAAAAGGTTTTGAAAGCTTCCAAAAATATACAAATGTAGAGAGAAATTATTATAATTCACTGACTGAACGATTGAAGAGAACCGTTTCCAATATGACCACCATCCAATCGCTTACTGCAAAAGATGCACCCTAGAGACTTTATATACACATAACATCATATGTATGCCATATATATCTATAGATATATGACTCACGTGTATGCATCCACACACCTGAGAACCAAACGGAGCTCAGGGCAATGTTTCCCAGCTGGCTCCAAACCTCTGCTGCCATTACAGTCTGGGATCAAGTTAAGCCTTGCAGCTGAGCCCTTCAACTCTGTTGTGTTTGTGTTGTGAGTGATTTCCTCTCATTCTTCCAACAATAAATGACTAGTGACAGAGATACAAGTCAAATGAGCCAAAAGCCAAGCCAATTAGTTTACAGATACCACAACCATAAACCCTAGATAACAAACAGAAGATTCAACCACCTAACAGAATGGCTAGATGGTAATCAGAAATCAGAAACAGGTGTATTGCCAGGTAGGTTGTATGTCATCCTTATTGTTGTTGTATGTCATCCTTATTGTTGTTCTGTTGTTTTTATGTTACAGGTGTAACTAATGTCCTGCAGGTCACCCTTGAAAAAGAGATCTTTTGATCTCAAGGGGCTTTCACCTGGTTAAATAAAGGCTACAAACAAGGTTCGCACATACTAGGAATTTGACTTGATGTCATGGTGCATACATAAAATATAAAAAACAAGAAATCTAATATAAAACAAAAAATATTTTATACCGTAATAAAATACAGTTAAATAGCAATACAAATTAAATAAAGCAGTCATTTACATGGAAATAGAATGCTATGAATTAATTTAAGAATATAAACTATGAAATGTGATATAAGAATATGTGCAGAAAGGAGTATGAACATTGTGTGCATTAATGTAATGCATATAGTCTATGATGTGGCTGAGTTAAGTGTCAGTGGCCGGGCCTTGTTTAAGAGGCCGGTAGCGGAGGGGAAGAAACTGTTCAGGTGGCGAGAGGTTTTGGTCCCGATGGAGCGCAGCCTCCTGCCAGAGGGGAGGGGGGTGTCCAGGGTGGGAGGGGTCGGCCACTATCTTCCCTGCCCGCCTCAGGGTCCTGGAGGCATGCAGGTCGTGGAGGGATGGCAGATTGCAGCCGATCACCTTCTCTGCAGAGCGGATGACCCGCTGCGGCCTGCCCTTTTCCTTGGTTGTGGCTGCGGCGTACCAGATGGTGATTACAGCATCGATGATGGAAGTGTAGAAGTTCACCATCATCGTCTTTGGCAGGTTGAATTTCTTCAGCTGCCTCAGGAAGAACATCCTCTGCTGTGCTTTTTTGATGAGGGAGCAGATGTTCTGCTCCCATTTGAGGTCCAGGGCGATGATGGTGCCCAGGAAGCGGAAAGACTCCACAGCGGTTACTGGGGAGTCACACAGAGTGATGGGGGCGGGTGAGGCTCAACGACCACTGTCTTCTAGTGTAAAGATGTTATACTGTTTAACCATTTTTTTATTATTTTGTCAGCCATTTTATTTTTGTTTTATAAATTCTTTGTACTTTTGTTTTGAAAAGTCTGAAAGTTTTTTTTATAGTTTTAAAATAAATATTATTATGTCTAAAATAATAATTCTAATCAAAATGTACATAAATCCTTTCAAAACAAGTTATAAAAGTGTTTATTTAAAAACACTTTAAATGGTCTAAATTAAAACAGTGAAACACGGTTGAATGCACTCCACATCCTTTTGTTTATTTGACACGTGACAATGTTAAAATATTCTGAACAGCATAATATTTGTTTCACTACAACATCGAACAGCTCTTTTTTATTATTTTAAATGTGAATATTTATTTTACATGATGTATTGCAATCATTTTAAGGTTTTTCTAGTATGAAGTCTCAAATCCCAAAAAGCAAACGGATTCAAAGCCTTCTGAATAAATACTTTATAACCTGTTTCATGTCCAATGAAGAGTATAATTGCTGTCAAATCATAAAATAAAAATATTTTTTTAAAGTAATAGTTATAGTGAGGGTGAGCTACTGCAGCTTTGGTGCGGAGAGCTGAGGTGAAAAGCCTTCAGCGGGCCATCTGATGATCTCAGTGTGTGGATTAGGGCGTTTATGAGCGGATGAGCAGTGATGGCAGGATTAGCAGGGCTGTGTAATGGACCACAGCTCTTCACTTGAGGGCAGAGGGATCCAACAGCAGATGAGCACTTGGCGATGATTATCAAAGCATCACTGGCATTCATCTGTGCGTGTGTTGGATGCAGTTCCACAGTAACGTTAGCGATGGCCTTTCTACATAGTTACTTTCCCTCTTCTGCTTAGTTTTGAATGAAATAAATGTACCTAAAAACCTAAAATGTACCTAAAAACTAAATCCAAACAGATGGTATTAACTGGTAGTTGACAGAATATGACATTACAGTACCAAGATAAAGGAGTTTGTTCCTACAAAGCTTTCCTTTCTTTAGTCATAATGGATGTTTGGCCGTTAAGAAAAATGCCGTCAAGAAAGAAGTTTATAACCAAGCCTGACACTGTTGTGCCATTGTTAAACCAACTCATTTTTAGGGGATGTTAAACACAACATATCCATTAACCTCATATAAATCCCTGCAGGACAAAAGTCAATTATATCATAACACCACAACCCATCAGTGGGAGCTGTAAATAATAAAAATGGTTTACTAGGCTGTAATGTCCCATAATGTGGGTCATACTTTTATGAAGCCTGGCACATATCCGCAGCTGTCACTGCTCTACTTTTCAGTTGGATGCATCATCAAGCTAATAGAAAGTTTCTAGCATTTGTCAGGCCCCATTCACACATAAAGAGGACAGAACACTTCTCACCATAAATTGATTATAGGATTCATAAAACGATACATGCGTGTGCACTGGAGCTTGTAATGGATTGCATTAAATTGTAAACGTGTACCCATCAAACTGATAACCCTGTGTAAAGCGTACTTTCTGATTATATAATTAGATAGATCCTGCTTGAATTAAATATGTATCCAACATCACAACCTGTATAACTGACAGCCCAGTCTCTCCCTTTTCTCCCATCCACCATGAGCTTTTATGGTTCTTGCTTTGTCTCTGACATCACCATCAGTATTTGCTCATCATGTTTCCATATCACCTAATGTCAATTTGAGGTAGATTCATAGTCAGAGGACCCATCATTCGATTGCCAGGGAGCTTACCAAACAGATTTGTTGGAAAAAAGTGCATCGTTCATCATCAAAGCGGCTAGGGTTAAGGACATACGCAACAATGCTTTTTAATTCCCACGTTTGCATTTTATCTGCTTTACTCAGAACTAAAAGAAAAAGGTTTAAGAAACATTAAGGAACAAGGACCAGAACTTTGAATGACACTACATTTAAAAAAAGGCTTCTCAAACATGATATAATGATGCCTTCAACAGTCATATGGGTGAATTGCCTTGTGAAAGAAGATCACTCTCACTTCCACTGCTCCTTCGAGTAAATATTTAACAATAGCTAAAAGAGCCACCGTGCAAATGCTACTTTAATCCTCATACTCTCCTGTGGCAGATGATGTTTTTAAGCGGAATTTATAAATAGAACTACTTCTGTTATGAACTCCTACTGCTCTTTTCAAAGACAGGGTAGCTTGAGTTGTATTTTCTAACAATCCAATAAGCAATGAAAGCTCTCCAAGATATAAAGAGGAGGACACCTTTTGTTTGACATGCACATAAACACATTTCAGACTTTCTCTCTTAGATCTCAAAGAGCCTCCCACTTTGGTCTCCACACATGAAGCACACGGACATGAGGACAGCCTCGCAAAAGAGCTCTCAGGCCAGTGACTAGAATTAGACTGCCATAATAACTATCCAACACACACTCATACCACTCCCTTACTTTAACTGTGCATGCTGAGAGCACCACTGATTTATTGAAGAGGTTGTATGTCTGCTCAACTTAAATTTAGAAAGAGCGTTGCAGGAGCTTCTATGAGGAGACTGCACATTATTTTTGCTCCTCTTTGAATGAGGGGCAAGTGTGGCTTCAAATTATTCACAGATGTGCTGGTGCTCTGCCACGCAAGAGGAGGAGAGGCCGGGCCCACACTGCACTCGGCAGGCAGTGGAGACGGGAGGAAGCTGGGTAGCTGGAGCCACACACACACACACACACACACACACACACACACACACACACACACACACACACACACACACACACACACACACACACACACACACACACACACACACACACACACACACACACACACACACACACACACACACACACACACACACACACACACACACACACACACACACACACACACACACACACACACACACACACACACACACACACACACACCACACACACACACACACACACACACACACACACACACACACACACACACACACACACACACACACACACACACACACACACACACACACACACACACACGTCTCTAAGCATTTACAGCCATGTGAAACAACATAATCTGACACTCCTGACCCCCTTCTGAGAAATAGATTATGTAACGTATAGAGTAATGGAAAAAAGCTAAGCTTCAGTTTCATGTGGTTTGTCATCATCTCAATGCTTATTTCCATATTATGAAACACAGCTGATCTTCTTACCTTAATGCAAATGCACAAAACCGGCTTTAGTGTAAGCATGCACATCAGAGCAAAGTGTGCACCTCACTTTGTGTACTGTGGTGAAAATACATCAAGCGGAGGTATATTTTGAGTGTGTCGATGAAAAGTGAGAGCTCTTGTTGAACTCGCAAACACTGGCTTCAGCACAGAGGAAGAGAGAGTGTGTTCGTCCCCAAAGCCCTGTTCTCCTTAGGTACCACGAACAGTCAGCAGATTACTGATGCACACACATAAGCAGAAACACATGTCTGTTTAATAATAATTCATCAGTGATTAAGCAGGCCTTACCTGCTCATAGTTTAGCCGCTGAGCCTCTGATATCTCTTTAGGCTTGGTTTCCAGAATGTAGTCTCCTGCAGAGGGACAGAGGGAAAGAGATGATGACAGAGCGAAACAACCATGATTGATTATCGCAATAGCTTTTTATCTTAAGCATTTGTATAGAAGAAGACAGATGGTTTCAGATGTTTCGAAAAGCCATTGGGAGCGTTTAGCACTGGCCAGCTGTTCTACCAAGTGGAGGCTGTACCGAACATGCAGCATCAGTAGAGTCTCTTTCTACTGTGGCGTCACCTGAGATCTCTGTAGCTCTCAGCGCTACAAACAAAATGTTTCATATGAACACAGAACACCAAATCTAGACTTTACTCTACATCAGGCGTATGTGGTTCTATTCAGGGCAGACCATTACACAGCTGAGCAGGACAACTCAAGCCACATGTTTATTTTGTTGTAGTTTGCCTCTCTCTTAAACAGTCTGAGCTTATTAAGGCAGAACATGAATCAGAATGTTCTCAAAATCCAGAAATTGTGAAATGTTATGAAAACAAAATTATGAATGTATTTGATGTGGATAAATTGTTATGCTATAATATAAATAATATATATAATATGAACTCAGACGATTGCTAACAAACATCAGGTAGGATTTTCTGTGAAATGGGAAGATGGGTGGGAAGGGGGAGGGACGGGGTGGCATGGGAAAGGGATTCCCTATATTTTTTCTTTGTCTTTCCTTTTTCTTTTTGTATTATTGTCTATATAATTTGTATCTGTGTATATAAATTCCTCTGTGAGGGCAACAAAAAAGGTCACAAAAAAAATCGGGACATGATCTAGTCAAATATCCAAACTTTCTGAGGCGCAATATCTGTTAAAAGGTAAAGTATTTGTCAAAATATTCTGAATAAAGTATAATTGTGCTGTAGTGATATTCAAGCATACCAATTATATTGCATATGATATTTGTTTTAAATAGATCCTAGAAAAAAAAACGACCATGATTATTTTAAAGTATTTTTAATAGAAACTAGGATAATGATTTAAAAATGATCATTCCCTGCACCATCATATCCGTAAAAAAAACTGTGATTACATTTTCTTATGAAATCTTTCAAACGTATTGCTTGTACATTTTTTTTTGTTCCTTGTGTTATTAGAAACCTTTTCTGTAAATCACATTGATATAATGGCTAAGGAAGCCATGCAATTATATTTTTGTTATTGCTGCAAAAGCTTAAATGCAGTCCTTACTTTTAAAACTCATGCGTAAGTGTTTTTCAAAACGCTTCACAGAGACTCGTGTATTTATTGGGAACTGGCAACAGAGCCACGCTGCACTGTCAACACATACTTGAACTGAGTATTACTCAGAGGAATGCCATGGACCTCTTGTCATCAACAGCTACACATGGAGAAAAAACACTTTTGTTGTTTTGCACAAGCAAATAGAATGAATGGCATGGATTAAGTGGGAAAAACAGCCTGTATTTGTATTGGAATTTGTGCTTAATAATTGTAATGAGTGTCCTAGAAAGGCACGATGATTTCTTCATGTGAATGCAAACGGATACACCAACCAGGTTCATAGACTATGTCAAACGTGTGAACTATCAAGGCTTTTGGAATGAACAACAGACTAATTGCAGTTTTAAAAAACAGTAGCACTTTACATTACAACTCAGTTATAAGTTGGTAATAGTGGGCTAATACTGTGTTTTGATCGTAAAGAGGCAAAGGCAAAAATACCAGTTTGTATTTATTTGAAATTCAATCATTTTTTCCAGCAGGGGGCCAGCTAGCGGAGTGGATTTACTCCAGCATGTGGACGGCAGGGAAAGCCCCTCGCTGCTCTGTATTCCCTTGAACTGTGGACTCACTGAACTCTGATTCTCCACTAATATCTGTGTCTGTCTGCCTCAATGTGTCTGGATCACTGGCCATGCTACGTTGCATACTGTTGACGAGGACCACCACCCGCTTTAAACTACACATCACCTACCATCACTCCTTGTGTCTGTGTGTTTTGAAAATTGCTGCTGAGGTTAGAAGTATCTAGCAGCCCCTGGACGTGATAAGATATTCATGTTGTGTGCTGTTATTGAATGCAAGCACAAGGTGTCCACCCGAATACAGCACAAATAAGCACTTTTGGAGATTACACATAGTGCTTTTTTAGTGCATTGTTGAATTCCTTCATTAGGCCTACTTAACTGCAATTTAATAGAGATGAGAGCAGTTTGGACACGAACAAGTTAAAAAATCCATATCAGGGGTACACTTAAGTGTCACTTTATTATGTTTTGGACTATTGTATCGATTCTCAAAGACATGGTTTAGATTTATAAATAATAGTTTACATGCAAAGACCAGGGTCAAACTGTGGCTCATATTGCATAATGAGTAGTAAAATGATGCTAAAGGGACAGCATGTAGATCCAACTGTTCTGATTGCATAAAAATGTACATTTTGTTACCCAGATTGTATGCATATGGCGATGTGTTCTTTAAACCAGTGGTTCTCAACTGGTGGGTCGCGACCCACTTTCAAGTGGGTCGCAGATGTGTGAGTGAAGAAAAAAAATTTTAGAATTGTTTTTTTTTTTTTTTGGGGGGGAAAAAAGTCATACTTTTATTTTGAAGGCCCGATTTTCTAACGCTGTGCATGCAGTAGGCGTTGGACTGGAAGTACCGGAGACCATAAACGGTTTTGAAAACTTCTGTCACGTAGTGATCATCTTCTCAATAAAACATCTTTGCTGATGTTTTTCCGAGTCTTCTGGCCAATCAAGATTGTTGCCCACGGAGAATAACTTTGCGGTAGAACTATTCTTTATCCATGGGTACAACTTCAGATAAAAATGAACACATAATTAAATATGACCCCCAGTTTTGATGATTGACAGGTCACAGAACAATGGGGGCTATCTACCCTTACCCACAATTTAAAGTAATTCACACAGAATATCTCCTCTTTGCTCTTCTCTCTGTGAGGAGCAGCAAGCAGTCATAACAAAGTGAAAAACAAACAATGGCATAAAATATTATTAATATGTCGGGTAGTAATAGATTTATTTATTTTCTTCTCAGAGTGTACCAGAATGGGTAGTTTATATGTTAGTATTTCAAAAAATCTCCTGGGGGAGAATCCCCCCAGACCCCCCTTCTGGGGTTGGGTTTTCAGCATGTGGGCCTTTTTATGTTATGCAGTTCAGCTTTGATTCCATCATCTCATTAAACCTTATTTAAAAGCATACTTTAGTTCTGTGAAGAGATATAAGGGATATATGCACTGTACTTCACTTTAATTAATAATGTATGCTGAAAAGAGTATATTTTACTGCACGATTTTTTGTTGAATAGATTTGAGTGGTTCAAAATTTCGGGTCGCGATCTATTGACTAAGGAAAAAGTGGGTCCCGAGGCCTGACCAGTTGAGAACCACTGCTTTAAACTATAACAGTGTTCTTACAATTATATTTGTAAAAAGCAATGTATCGTCTTTCTTACAGAATTGCAATATATTGAACTGAAACCCTGTATCCTAATTCATGCCAATACAAAGTCCAAGTAAGGGGAACATCTACTATAAAATAGTTCACATACAGTTCTGTGATGTGGATTACATAGTCTACTCATGGCAGTGGATACTGGAGAGGAGAAGCTAGTGAAGCCCAGCTCTACCTCTAGAGAACCCCTGCAGTAATAAGACTCTCTCGACTTTGATATTCTAAAGTTATGAAGGGCAGGAGACAGCCAGAGAGAAGAGATAGCTCCTGTTTCCTTTGCAACAGCAGAATATGTAATCAAGGGGATTCCCCTGTTCTGCTCTCTTCCTCTGTTGACTGGAATATATATATATATATCTGACCTAAAGTATGCATCCGCCAGAATTTGAGAGGACGTGAAACCTAAGAATGTCTACTAGTCTGTTATTGGCTGGTATGTGCACTCATGGGCAATGCTACGGAAAAGCAGATCAACATGTTAGTATTGGAGAGAACTACTTTCTAAATGTTATCTTCTGCAAATTACAAAACAGGTTATATTACACACAGTTTGTTATTGTAAATGTGAAGCCAGATGAAAAAAGCAGAAGAGAGCCATATTCACTGAGGTTGCCCTTTCATCAGAGATGTGGCGTCAACCTGCTCATGTTTAATACGTTTTAATAGACACTCACCAAGATACTCCATCAGTTGCTCAACAGTAATAATTTCCATCATAGGTGGCATCTTAACCTGCAACAGAGAGACATGGAAACCCACTGTTTAGGGCAGTTTAACCAGGTATTCTATCAATTACAGATGAATCGATTATTGTTTGGTCTGTAAAATGTCAGAAAATAGTGAACAATCTATATCCAATATTGTCAAACTACAATGTGATGTTTTTAAATGTCTTGTTTTGTTTTTGATTTCAAATATGTTCAGTTGTATTGGATATAAAACAAAGAAACGCATCCCTCTTTGTATGCATAGTTATACAAATGTATAGATGTTGAAAATAGCTGACAATAGTTGATTGACTAATCATTAGTCACTTAACTGTTGCAGTTCATTGTTCATTAATTCTGAACCCATGCATCAAGCAAAGCACTGCAACACAAGTGAACTAAAAAACAATACAAAACAATTTAGTATGTTTGACCCATGTGTTACAGTTTGTAAAACACCTCATATCATTGATATAAAATACTAAATGAAATAATCTTCCCAACAGAAAGTGCTGAGGGGTAGAGGAGGCACCAGGACTTAGTGTTAGGTGAAGTGTTAAATGAGTCTAAATGTACTATAGTTATGATTATATAGAACAGCTGCTGACAGAGCTTTATAAATATATCCATAGTCTCTATGTATCTATGATCATCTTCTTTACCTTCCATGCAAGCAGAAGGACATTCATGATTGCCAGTAATGGACAAGGGCCGTTCTCGTTCTGGGTGATGATCGGCGTGTTCTCCTCCCTCCACTTGATCCACTTGATGTGGTATAGAGACTGTCCGGCGGCGGCCCGTTCCTTCGCACAGGCTGTCTTTGTCCCATCGGCCTCGTACTCGCCCTGCAGCGCCAGGGCCAGTCCTCGGTCCTCCAGCCCCTCGCTGTTCAGATCGGAGCTGGGGCAGGAGTTGAGGTTAGAGAAAGACTCCAGGGAATCAATGCTTCGGGACTCTCCACCGAGGCTGGGATCGGGGTCACTCCCACTCGGCAATCCCTCCGATAAGGTGTGATCACCGGACAGCCCCGATCTGACGTGCGCCGTTATTGCGTTGTCCGTGCAAAGATGAGTCGGTTTGGCAAGTTTTGTCGGTTCACTTTCTGCACAAGTCAACACTTCAGCATGCACATCTGCGCCCTCCATAGCGGGAGGTGAGGACGGGCCGTCAGAGGTGTTGTTTACTAACTTTGAGGCACCACCCTCGTTATCTCTTGCAGCCAGCACCGAGTCATGCCCCATCCCGTTACTGATCTGATCCCCGGACCCCGACTCGCTCCTCTTCTTCTTATCCTCCTGCACGGGGAGGACTTGGATCACTTCTAGCACGTCCGACTTCCCAGCACTAGAGATGACATTCACTGCGCCGGGAGCACTCACATTTGTGATGCTGTTATTACAACTAACGTTGACCAAACTACTGAGAGCAGCCTCACTATTCTTGCATTGATCAGCTGTTCCTTTTACTCCACCGACAGCAGTTACATCGCCCATCTCTCCTGCAATCGTGGCACACAGCGTGCTCCCGTCAGTGTCTCGATGCAGGCTTGCATTTTTCTCCATTTCGATTTACAGACTGTCGACCGATTTTAGCTAAATTGCAGTAGCAGCTTCAGTCCCAAAGACGCCATGACAACTCTGCGAGTGACGTCATCAGAGTGAATTGCTTTCAGGCCGAGCAAAGGGGGTGATGCGTTTGAGTGGGCCCGTATTCTTCAATTTATCCCTCGCGTAAAACAGGTGTGAGCCATCCCAGATATTAATTTATACTGACTTTATAACATTCCCCCCTTTTTTTGAAATGCCTTAAAACCCCAAATGACACTTGTCTTGAAGCGCATTGAAGATTAGGAATATTGAATTTGTATTATCTACATAGGCTATTATCATCGTTAAAAATACTACACAATTAATTGTATAAAAACGTTTATTGTTTTGTTTTTATGTGTTATTTCTATTTATAATGGTTTTTTGTTCTGATGTTTAATTGACTCTTTGGTTGTTGTCATAAGCAAAGTAGAGTATCAATAAAGTGATTAGAGTCATTCAAAATAATAAGTTGTATTTGTACGACCGCCAGCGTAAGGTGGCAAAATATAGAATATAAAATATTTGTACTTTGTACTTGTCTTTTTTGTTTGTATGGTGTATGGCTGGCTTTATCTGTAAACCATTCAAAAGTACCACTTTTACGAGGACTCCTGAACAGAAACGCCGTGGCCGTTGCCATCTTGCGTACATGGAGCTCGCGCGTTTGTTAGACCATACAAATCTCGCGTTGTCAGATCACAGTACTACTGGCAGGACAAACGAGACTTGGAAAATATGTGGCAGCATGGATGTTGAACTCTTATTTTTATTCATCCTCCGCAGTCATTGCAGTATGTGAGACACATCATGGTTCGAACACACATTAAAACAAATGTGTTTTTATTTCTTTGGGTGCAAAAAACCCAACCTTTATTAAGGTTAGGTTGTGGACGCTTTGTGTATCTTACTAAACATTCCATGCTCTAAAAATACTTGTACTATGAAATTATATAAATTATATAAACACTATTTGTGGCAGGAAAAGCCATGCTTTTGTAGGCAATACATAGTATTTTACAGATCTGCAGTATTTGACGGATACATGCAGTAAGTGTTCGCTAGATGGCAGCAGTTAACCGACCGAACAGAATAGCTCGTCACAGCCAGAGAGCTTTACAGGCAGATGAGTCAGACTGCATTAACATCTAGTGTCCCCTAACCATGATAACCCATAGCCCAAAGTATTTGATTGGTATAGCTGTTGGTTGGGACAATAGGTATACCGTAGGCGTAGACAGTGACAGTGCAGAGGATATGCTGCCTAGGAAATTGGATGTGTTATGCATTTAATTGTTGGTAAGGTATGATTAATGCATCCATAGGTGTCATTTGCGCTGGGGGCGCTGGGGACATGTCCCCACCACTTTTTGAAATGGCCAATTTTGTCCACACCACTTTTTCAAAGTCTATCTTATAAATATTCTGACAAATAGCATGCACAAATAAATGTAATAAACAAGAACACTGGTGTAGTGTCAAGATGTGCAATTTGGACATGTTAGTCAACCTTAATAAATAATGTAAAAAACAGAGATTTAAATTACAGTAAACAGGAAAAGTTTGGAATTGTCTTCCTGTCAAAATCAGCTGGGTCACATGATCTGTCAGCTGACTGGATCCGACCAATAGGAACAGGTTAAAAAAAAGTATATTAAATTGTGTCATTTTTATTTCTAATACTGTAAATACATCCACCATCACGAATCCTCTTTTTTCTAATTTTCCAATAATATGACTTCTAAAACCATTACATATTGTAGTACTCAAGTCTGTGTAGATCCATTTCAATTGTTTTGTTTCTTTAACTATTAAGCAGACTGCAACGCAATATTAAATAACGTCCCTGTCATAAAGTTCTACCAAAATCTCATCATCACACATCTCCTAACACTTCCCCCGGTGGTTTTACTCATATACAGTCTATGGTTTTTCTACATTAATAACATCTGTTTATTTTACAAATATACAATATATATATACAAATATTTTCATTTTGAATTACATTTGCTTAATTTTTGTGAATATACAAAGGAACTTTCTAGGCCAGACACTTGAAAAAATAAAAATAAATAACCTGTAATTTCAACATGCCATCTTGCCTCCCAATATAGTAAACACATAACATGTCCGTGTGGGAACAATACCCCCAACTGCAGTTCCATGTATGAATTATGAACCCAGTGTATAAATAGGTGGTCACCACAGGGTTGGGTTTTCTGACACTTGGTGAGTTCCCTGACACACCGGGGACACATATTCATGTATAAAAGACGTACAAAAGTGCATTTTGCATGATAGGTCCCTACCTGGAGTAAATTTCACAATCTACTATTCAGCATACAAAGGGATTTAAAATGTGCAGCTTCTTTATCAGCTTTGATAATCAATAATTATAATCAAAATATTTTATATATTATTCTCAAATTGGCCAATCTGCATAATGAGTACTTTTACTTTAGGTACTAAGAGTATATTTAGACGCTAATACTTTTGTACTTTTACTTGAGTAACTTTTTGTTTGCAAGTATTTTGCCTGTCAGAGTATTGTTACACTCTGGTACTTCTACTTTTACTTAAGGACAAGATCTGAGTACTTCTTCCACCTTTGCATATCAGTGTTTGCCTTTTAGATATAGCTTTTATATTTTAATATACAGTTCAGTATATGTATAACATTGTACATGTATACTCAAAAATGTGTATTATCATGTTTTTGTCTATTTTCTTTTATTTATGATTTTGCCATACACCCTTTTCCTAATTGAAGATCTCCATAAATTCGACACTAGAAAAACCCTAACCCAAAAACAGTTGGATCAGGAAGTCATGAATTGCGGAAGTAAACAACTTTCAGCCTCTAAACACTAGTTTTGTACATGTTTTCAGGCTGCTATCTTTGCCATTAACACCAATATGTTGTTGTTGTTTTGTGCTAAACTGAATGTCTTTTTGTTATCTTTATCGATTTGTAGCATATTTAGAATCCCTTAGCCTATGCCCATAGATGAATGGGAGTGTCCGGGTTTAAAAAAAAGCCATGGGCATTACAAAACACACCGGAAATGAGGGTTTGTCTGTCCGTCTGTCTGACGTCGGGCTGCGGAAGACAGAGCTGTGTTGTGATGGGAGCTAGCTAACTAGGAAGGGCGACTACACCTTTAAGTGAAAGAAGCGAAACAAGATCAATTCGCTGGTTTCGCTGGGACGCTTAGCTGGTTTACCAGGGGATTTCGATATGATATTTTTAAATATAATTCTCCTGCTTTGCTGCCTACAAGATATTAGAGGTAAGTTTTCCATTGATTCACACGGAGAGGAAAGTGCTCAGTGATCGTCAGCCGAGCTAGCGCTAATCGGATCAGGCAGTTGTACTCTGGCTATCGAACTGGCTAGCTAACGTTAGCCGGCTAATGTAGTCAATGTATTGATTTGTGGGCTGCTAACCCGTGATTAACGGGATGGGGTTGGTAGTGTATGAAGTAAATTACGTTTGGGTGATACAGGTTGAGTATTCTGACGATAAACAGCCTGTTTTTTGGCAGTTCATGGGGGATAAACTGAGGCTAACGTCCACAAACAGACACTTTGAATAACGACGGTTTTAGCTTATAAATACACTCGGAAGCAGTACTCAAATATTGCATAAGTTAAAGTAGAAATACCAAAGTGTAGGAATACTCTGTTACAAGTAAACGTCCTGTATTCATAATGTTACTCAAGTAAAAGTACTAAAGTATTAGCATTTAAATATACTTAAAGTACCAAAAGTAAAGGACTCATTATGCTGATTGGCCCATTTCACAATCTTATAATATATGTTTTGGTTATAATTGTATGCATTAATGTGTTTATCAAAGGTGGAACTTCTTTCAACTAAATATCTAAAGTATTTTTGAAGTGTTTTGATCATTTATTTATAACTGCGAAGTAACCTGTAGTGGAGTAAAAGTACAATATTTACCACTGAATTGTAGTGGAGTAGAAGTGCAACGTAGCATACAATGGAAATACTCAAGTAAAGTACAAGTACCTCAAAATTGTTATTAAGAACAGTTCTTGACTAAATATACGTAGTCACTTAAAACCGCTGCTCGGAAGTTACATAAATGTTTATCCGCGTTTGAATAATTTCAACTAATAATGCTAGCTTAAGATGTAGTACTCTGAACTGGCAGGCGACTTGCGTATACATGTATAATGATGCACTGCCTTAACGGTTGTAATATCCACAAGAAGCAATTTGTAAACTCAATAAAACAATTCCCACTATTGACCTTTAATTACCCTAACTTAAAAGTGATTTGGTCCACGGGCGTTGTCCACAACAACTTGATATCCCTTTCCTGTTCTTGCCAGGGATGAGTTCACAGCTAAAAGTTATGAAGGGAAATCTCATTGCTTTTTTAAAATGACTAGGCGCTTGTCATGCTGTTTAACCACCTTACAGATATGTAATTGAATGCTTACCTAAAATGTTCTTTAATTACAGTATCATCATATCTTAGCTGTGCCATATAAGTGCTTTTGAGGTCTATTTTGATAGACAAAAGCTTGCTGTCTTTTCAGTAGATACCGTTTCCTGCTCTCAGTGAGTCACCATTAGTCAAACAAGCAAAAAAACGAGCACAATTTCCACTGTGTTTTTAGTTGATGAAATCATAATGAAAGTAATTTTATCTGATATTAAGATTTGTTTATCTTCTCCTTCTTTTAATTTGTGTATAGATTTGATAGGTTCACCACCCAAACTGCTTCATAATCTCAATGATAAAACCTCTAAGTTGAGAAATCGAAAACAATTGCTGAAAGGGCTAGTTTATTCTGTGTAGTCTGTGCAGAAATAAAAGTAAACAATATGGTCACAGAAATGTGCTAAAATGAAGCAAATGAATCAATAAAATGTATAACACATGATATCACATTGGTTTTTAAAATGATTCTGCTCAGATTCAGATCCTACAGTACAAACAAATATTCTTAAATGAACATTGTTGAATGTCAGCTGGATCACTTAACATGAAATGCCTTGTGAAATGTGAGGTTAAATATTGCATGC